GCTCCAGCACCTTCAGAAAGGGAAAAAAAAATGCAGCTTCAGGTTACGCGCCATCAATAAAAGGAATACTATAGCAACTGAATGAAGTAGAATTACATGAAAGGTACCCAACTACAATAATACTACGCATCTCAACTTCCAATCATCAGTTTTACATTTCCTACACAATGCCTAGAAGATAAGCATCTAGCGTTCTGTGCTTATCAGAACACACTGGCAATTTCATGCAGTTTTGCCTACAAAAATAAGATTTCTGAGCTACAGCCACCTCACTTTTTCTTTATTTACAAGTACTTGCTATCTATCATTAAAAAGAATATATAAGGCATCTACTGATCCTAAAGTTCATCTTCCTTGTAATTTCTTTTTCAACGTGCTTCTATCTTTATACGATTGTGATTCAGCCACTATAATAGGAAGCTGATATCAATAAAATTAACAACTTAATATTCTACTCCCACAACATTATAAAATCCTACAGCATACTACTACTCATTACTATTTTCCAAAAGCAATACCTAAATTACAGCATGTGAAATGAATTGCATTAGCTCCCTAATTAGATATTCTTTTCCTAATAACAAAAAATTGGTATCTGATGCAATGAAAGCACGCACAACACATTGATAATCACAGTCAACAGTGTGAAAGGTTGTAAAGATGACTACTCATCACTATGGAATCTGGGAAGGTAGCCAAGAAAAAAAAACACATGCATATTAAGTTATCACCAATAGTTATGAACAGTTGTTGGTTTCCAGAGTTCAACATGAGGCAGCGTATCAGATGCTTGAGGTGCGCCTACGAAAGCCTTGAAATCAAGGCGGTTTGTAGGTCTGGTAAGCTCAGTTATATGACACGCAGTGCAGCGCAATATGACTGACAACTTGCATAGACTGTAGACCCACAACAGTTAAGATCCTAGAGTCTACGATTTAATTTTGATTTATTTTCTGAAGAACACAGACATATTTTCCTCTAAGTGGTATGGATAAAACTAGCCTATTAAACACAGTCATTTTATCTTACCTTTGACATTATCTGCAGAAAAGACACTACATTACAGAAAGTCTTCAGACAGTCATTACATAGAAGTCAAAGTAGACTGTTCTCATTATTTAAGTGCCACCAAAAAATCCTAAATCGGAACCCACGTTTTATTTATTGAAGAATAGATGTGATGATAGAAGTCCCTGGAGGTGTACAAAGAATGTTTAGATGTTGTGTTGAGGGACATGGTTTAGAGAGAACTATTGGTGATAGGTGGACAGCTGGACTGGATGATCTAGGTCTTTTACAGCCTTAGCGATTCTATTATTCTAAGTCAACTATAATGATGTAAAAAACATTCTAGATTAATGATCTTAATTGGCAACAAAAGCTGTCGCTACTCTTCATTATAGGAATTGACTTGCAGTAGAAAAATTTCAGCACACCCTTTTCTTACAGAAGAAACTCTGCCATTCCAAACTCCCAGAAGAGCTAAGAAGAGACCTGCCTTTGTTTAGCCCTTCTGATAGCTTTAACCCTCCAACTTAAACTATGCTCCCTGCAAAAAGAGAAAAATTAATTCTCTCTGCTTTGAACATTACAAGTACACTTACTGAAAAGGCTTACTATGGCAGCTGCAAGCTTAGTTGCTATTGTAGTTCATAGAAGGATGGATATTTTAGAGTATTGCCTCATCCGTCCAAAACTGTGAAATAAATTAGAAGCTTACTTAAAAAACACTGAGTAAGAGAAATTAACCAGCATGTTTAATTGGTTTGTAGGTGTAGCTTTTCAAAGAAGTTCAAAGCCACTATTATAAAGTAGTCATTTGGTATTTTGTATCCACCAGCTCTTACTGCACAAACACAGTTAAGATTCATCACAGTAAGGCAGAAGAAATAAAAGGGGATGGGGACCTTGGACCCACGGTGCCAGAAAACTACAGAAGGCCGACCAGATTCACTGGACCTATCAGGAGCTGGTACGTTGCTCTTTAAATAGGTGCTCATATGCACAGAAAACAAACAACAGCTACCACAATGAGCTGAAAATACATTATCTTCAGGTCAAATGAAGACAGAACAGTTACAGAAGACCATCAACAAGATGTTGCGTTTATGACATTTTTGGCCACAATATATACTACTGCACCTGGATTTTGTTGCTATCATCACTCAACCCCATCATTTGGATGTTCCAAGCTGCTTTCTGAAGTGATTGCTATCCCATGTTAGAAATAGGGTGCCAGTAGGCAGAACTCTTTTACATTATCTTAGGAACTTCCCCACAGAAAGATGCTGAGAGGTAGGAATGCCAGGAGAACCATGCAGATTTGTACTTGATAGCTTTTTCCATCAACAGTGCTGCCTCCCCAGTTATAAGATCAACAGTCATGATATTGTCGTAACTGTCAGGTGTGCTCAGCCTCCTTTGGATCAATCATAACACCTTCATTTCAGATTCAGCAACTGAGCATAGACGACATTCGACCCTGTGCCCCAAAGTTTAGTGTTCCATCCTCCTCCCAAAGCCATCATCCACCTACAGAGTCTCCCTATTTGCATGCTTCCATCCAGCTTAGTGTCTCAACAGGCTGCACCATACTCGAAGCGTATGCAGAGTCTACACAAGGTGAGTCTACATTCCCTGTACCCAATTTTCATCCTCTGCCAGTTGATTATTATGTTTATGATTTGAGTTTAAAGGGATGCATCCATGTATTTATTTTCCCACCTGATAAATAGTTATGAAGATTTTGTTCCAGTCCTAACACATCAGTAGTGTAACTTATCTTCCTTTTATTTAGTCAAGGAGAAAAGCTTAAAGAAAAAGGAGCTTAAAGACAAGCTACTCCTACTGCTGAGCCTCAGCTCCCCAGATCAGCACATTCAGCGAAACCATGCAGGTTTGAAAGGCAAATTCTAAGGGAAAAAGATTGTAATCATGGAAACCAGAAACTCCAGGACTCAAGCACCTAGGTCATGGCATGAACAGCTTTTCAGCACAGTGACAGGACACAAAATTAACATGAGTTTCACTGCAACAGAGAGAAGTAGGTACCTAAACCCATCAATAATTAAACACAAATGCAAGAAAGATCCCTCCTGGTGCTTGGAGATGATTTTCCGCATTTAATGGCGCAAAGCTGTCAGCCTAATTAACATTAAAGCACAGTTTTACACAACTATCAGATAACCAATACCACTTCCACTCATTCTAATATTTTATATTGATTTTCATCAAGTCTTCAGCTCTGGCTGATGCAGAAAGAGCACAGCTTTTTCAAAAACTAGACTCCCACTGTTTAGTCTTTTATGTTGTCAATGCAATGAATGAAACAGAAGCCCAGTTCCTGCCAGACTCCCTGTGAGTCACCACATCCTTATCTCCAAATTGGAGGGATGTGTATTTGATGGGTAGACCACCCAATGGATAAGAAATTGGTTAAAAGGCCGCAAACAGAGAGTGGTTATTAATGGCTCTATGTCCAGGTGGAGGCTGGTAACAAGCAGCATCCCCCAGGGGTCTGTCTTGGGACCAGTGCTCTTTAACATCTTTATCAATGACAGAATCGAGTGCACCCTCAGCAAGTTTGCTGATGACACCAAGATGAGTGGTGCGGTCGACACAGTAGAAGGAAGAGATGCCATCCAGAGGGACTTCAACAGGCTAGAAAGGTGGACCCAGGTGAACCTCATGATGTTCAACACAGCAAAGTGCAAAGTTTGGCACTTGGGCTGGAGGAATCCCAGGCATCCATACAGACTGGAAGGAGCGGTCCTTGAGAGCAGCCCTGCAGAGAAGGACCTGCGGGTCTTGATGAATGAAAAGCTTAAAATGAACCAGCAGTGTGCTCTTGCAGCTCGGACAGCAAATGGTATCCGGGACTCCATCAGAAGAGGGGTGGTCAGCAGGGACAGGAGGTGATTGTCCCCCTCTACTCTGCTCTTGTGAGGTCTCATCTGCAGTACTGTATCCAGGTCTGGAGCCCCCACTACGAAAAAGACAGAGAGCTGTTGGAGAGGGTCCAGAGGAGAGCCACAAAGATGATCAGGGGGCTGGAGCACCTCCCCTACAAAGACAGGCTGAGGGAGCTGGGCTTGATCAGCCTGGAGAAAAGACGACTGCGGGGTGACCTCATTGCAGCCTTTCAGTACCTAAAGGGAGCCTACAAACAGGAGGGGAATCAACTCTTTGAAAGGGTAGATAGCAGAAGGACAAGGGGAAATGGTTTCAAGTTGAGGGAAGGAAGATTTAGGTTGGATGTCAGGGGGAAGTTCTTTACTATGAGAGTGGTGAGGTACTGGAACAGGCTGCCCAGAGAGATCGTGAATGTCCCATCCCTGGAGGTGTTCAAGGCCAGGTTGGATGGGGCGCTGGGCAGCCTGGTCTGGCATTAAATGGGGAGGTTGTTGGCCCTGCATGTGGTGGGGGGTTGGAGATCCATGATCCTTGAGGTCCCTTCCAAAGCCTTGCAGTTTTGTGCTCCAGTCTGTAACCTCTCATTCCTACTGTGCCCAAGGAAAGCTCATGAATTGTGAATATTACAGCAATAAGTCTAAGACATTTGAAAAATTATTTTGACATTATACAAAGTAATCAAGGAAGACAACAAGAGACATTTGAATTGAGGAAATTTAGAGAAATACACCCTAACAACAGGCAATTCCATCTGCCTTGTTACATTTTTTGAGTACTCCTATCAGATGCACGTTGTTTATTCAAAATCCTCCAAGTCACTGAAGATCTGATAGTCGCTGCTGTCATCACAACGAAGAACTGAAAGACTGAAGAAAATAAACAAACATGGTACAAGCTAACTGCTTGCAGCATGTAAGTTTCTAGCTTGCCACCTTTTTGAGAGGTTTTTCCATAAGAAGCTTACTTTTTCTGCACTGATATCTCAACTTATTCTATTATCCAGTCTTGGAAGCTATTCCCCAGCCCCTCAGCTCCCTCGAGTACATCTTCTTTTTAAGTGCACAACGCTGAAAAAAATGGTACACAAGTCTGAGTACATATTTATTACCATCAATATGTGATAGCCTCAAGAGACATCCATGCATCACATCCAGTTAGCACAAAGAGAAATCACAGTTCTCAGTACCACGCTGTTTTTGCCTAATGCTTCAAGGACAGACTCACGTGCAAGTCAGTTTGCTTCTTTCTAACAGATGAATGAGTTTGCTGTTAAGGAGAAAATAAGGCTTGCTCTCTCACCAAATTTTACTGCTATAGGAATGTCCCAGGAGCCTCTCCCCATCAAACTCAGGCTCCCAAACCCAGGTCTGGTTCCCATCAGAAGCTGCAGCAGGCTCTTGAAGGAACAGAAGAAAAGTCTCGTTAGGCACATGCGCCAGATCAACCTCTCCTGTAGTGCAATATATATGTCATTACCATCTATGATCATGCCTTGTCCTAACTCTGGGCTACTCTTCATTGCCAAAAAAAATAAAAAATAAAGAGTGAACTGCTCATGGGGAAGAGTGGTGCAGGAAAACAGAAGAAGAAAAAAAAAAAAAGAGGGGGAGATATAGATGCACTATTTCTTCCAGTTTTATTCTGCAAATAAAGAAAAAGCAAATGATGCCTTGATACAGAAAACATTAAGAGCATTAAGATACTGCTTCACAACCGAATTGGAAGAGTAAGTTAAGATAGCTTATTCTAGCAATTTCCTGCCAGTGACACCGAGTTAGACACAGGTAACCTATAACAATTTGAGACAAAGCTATAATCAGCTTTCATCTGTAAAATGCGGTTTTATTACTCGGTTATGTTGTGCTCTAGATATTCTTGTTAGCAAACCTTTGAAAATAATACATGAACTTAAATTCATTCACAGATAGACAGTGATTCTCCAAGAGAACTACGTAGCTAGGAAAAGTCTCTCACACTTGCTAACAAAACTCCTTAGTTTGCACTGAAACATTTTAGAAAGCCACAAACTGCATCACTAGGTATGTTTAAAGATGTAGATCCAGTACCGCAGATAACACAAATTTAATTTCTTTGTTGAAGAATATGCAGTAGCTTTACTGCTACTCCACTACTTTTTCTCAAATATTTAAGAGTTGCCACTACTTTTTCTTAAATATTTAAGAGTTGATGCAATTTGCAAGCGTAGGTGACTTTACAACACAGCTGTTCAACTAGACCATACACACCAGAGAAACAGACAAGTAAAGAGAAAGCCCCAACACTTGGTGCAAGGAAATAAACTCTGACGAATACATGTCTGTCTCTCTAATGCCTCTCCCCTTCTGCCCCTGAGGTAAGCTTAGCCCTGCAATAAGGCATTAAATTAGTAAATAAGTCAGTTTTATCACAGCGATTATTTCCTCTGTGCTCCTTCCCCCTTCTTTCTATTCCCTCTGCCTTTCTTATCACTTCTTTCGTCAGGAATATCAAAATAGATAGCAGACCTCAGGGATATCAACCTTGCTTCCAGGCACAGACATCACAACAAGCAATATCTGACTGTCCAATATGAGGTTCCTGGTTATTTAGGGTTTGAAGAGTATCGTGGACCAGATTTTCTTCAATATGACAATTACTTCAAGGCCAGGGGCTATCCATTTGCATAATAATGAACGTATTTCTAAAGGATCGTGCAGGAACCTACACATTAATGAGTTCTAGTGTATGTTATCTGACAGTCACTCCTGCTTTATAAAAATACTTTAATTAAAAACAACCTTTAAGGCTTACCTACTTGTATCTTTTAAATAACAGGCAATGACAGGCACCTGCTTTGTGCAATGGACAAACACATACAGCTCGTTTTGCAGCACCAACTGACCTGAAGAAATTTGGTAATTCATACCGGACTTCACACGTGGATGGACTTCAGGAGTCAGGATTTGCAAAACACACCCACATGGTCTAGAAGGTTATGCTACGTTCTCTTGCAAAGCTGCTGTGCTGATACATTGATATTTTTCACTTTCTCAGAACTTGGTATAAATTCTTCAGTAAATTCTTCACTTAGGATAAAGCTACTCTAACTCAAGTAGCTTTACTCAATATGTGGAAAAGAAGAGGGATCTCAGTGGCCACAGGATTTTGTTAGTTATTTTAACCCTGACCAACAAAAAACAAGTCTTTCAATCAATCAAATGACTTACAGAATTTAATCTAGCATTCCCAGGCAAAAACAGGATGGAAGCATGCCAACCCACCTAGCCCAAAACATTCCAACACATTCTTTGAAAGTTAGATTTACTCTTATGTACATGTCATTCAACACAACTTGACAGATATGAGAGAGTCTCTGCACATCAGGCAAAGCCATTATTTGAACTTTGTTATCTGCTCTTGAGGTACCCCTTCTCATCACACCACACAATTATCATCAACAAGAATACACTGGGATGGACTCTTTCAGCGATAACTGTCTGGGAACAGTCAACTGAAAAAAAAAATAACAACAATAACCCAGTACCCCACCCTCACAAAACCCATTCAGATGCACACCATCTGGTTTTGGAGCCACGTATATATGCATCTGTATAACAGTTAGGTACACGCTTCCACATAAGAAAACAGAGGCAAAAAACATCCATCTGCACAAGCACCAACTGGACCTCCAAAAGCTACATATCAACTTCCCCCATGGATAGTAATGCAGACTTGGGGAAAGTTCTGTACTGCTCTACTGCAAGCTGAATGCAATGCAGCTTTGTAATTCTTACTAGAGCCAGAAAAGTTGTGCTGCTAGATGCCATGATACCCTGAACGTTAACTTTAGAGCCCTTCTGAAGTCTGCACAGAAAGCACAAAAAACCTGCTTCTCCTAAACTCAGCAGTGTCCAACAGCCCAACTTCTAGCTCTCAAAGACTGGACAAAACACAGATAGCAAAGCCTCATATCACTACACAATAAACACAAATACCAAATGTTATCTCGCTCTAATCAATAGAATATGATGTAGATACCTAGCAATATGCTTACAAGAAGAAAAAAGAAAATTAAGCACTTTATTTCTATACCACAAATGCCAACCCAGCTCCGTGTTATTTCACTTAGACGAGGTATGCTAGATCCATCATTGGCTGGTATATATACACACAGATTTCTTGGCAATTCAAAAATTCTAAAGAAAGGTTGACTTAATACCCATAAAATATACCACTGTAAAAGAAAGTGTCTGTCTGATTTAAAATGAGCTTGGTCTCATTCCTTCTAGCACAAGTCTTATTTTTCAGTACCAGAAGTGCCTGCTGGTGATTAACTCTATTGGCCCTGAATCACACACACCCTTTTTCCAATGAGAAATCAAAGAATGCAAAGCTTAAGAACATCACAGTTTATACTACTACCCAACTCCACAATAACGGCCAAGCTGTATCAACATTTTATTCCAAAAATATTTTTCCCAGTAAACACAAGCCTAACCTAAGCTTTCCTCAGTAACCTATCCCTGTAAAATACAATAGGAAATGAAATGTAATACTCTATTAAGACTTGTTTTGCAAACAGAAGTGAGAGAGAGATCACCCAAGCATGAAGAGCCATTAAAATGGATCTTACATATATCATTATAAATTTAATAATCTCCATAATGGCTACAGTTCGAGTTAAAATGAATGTCAGCAAAGCATGACCAACTGATGTTATCCCAGCTGCCACTGAGCCTCACTTGGGGTTATATTATACTTTCAGAGGCCCCATAGTACATGTGCACCAAATACCCAGAGCTCGGAGCAGATGGGAGATGTAGGCTTCTATCCCTGTCAGCAAGGGGAGGCAGACATAATTGCATATTAATCTTGATGCATCAGGACAACTATTGTATACTTTGGTGTCTCAGGTCCCAAATGTTTTTCCCACTGTACACAATATGCAGTACACAATTGTATATTTAAAGAGGGGAAAAAAAAATAGGAGCAGCTTTCAGAAATGAAATCAATAGAAGGATTTTATTTCAGCTCTTATTGATTTACTTTGGCCCCCAAAACACTTCCTTGAAAAAGCAGAAGGAAGACCTTGTCAGCTTATCAGCTGATAGATTGTGCTTGGTGCAACAGAAATACATTTTGGGCTTTGAGTTGGTTGTGCTCTTTAAATCTAAGAAACAGCTGCATTTTATCTCATATCTGCAAGTTTTCCAGGCTCTTTTGATTTCTAACAGAGCAACAGAAAAACAACTGTCATTATGCAGTAGACTTGAAGAAGTTGTGACACACAGCTCCTCTCACCAATATTTAGCAGCATCTCAAAGAGCTGGTGGTCATTTCTGCTTCCAACTCATTTCAAATGCAATAAAAATCACACACGTCTATGCAAAAAAAGGAAGCTCTTCTTCACACAAGGCCAAATACAGGGGACTGGGTTTCTTTGTTTTTAAATCAACAAATGCTCAGGGAAAACAACACAAGTTATATATACAGTACAAGTACTTCAACTTTGAAGTCTAAGCTGTTTGCAAGCCACATTCTTCCCAAGATGGCAACTTCATTTAGGTCAACTTAATACACATAGCCAATCAATTATTATTAAACAACACAATACCACCTTGACACACAAGGCTTTCACAAAGCCCTTGCGCAAAATAGGATCTGTCAGCTGACATTACCTATGTTCCACTGCCTGTTTTGTGTTGTTTCAAGTCCCATCTGGAAACTATACAAAAATGATAACATTATCATCAGGACAATCAGGACACTGACAAGCATGCCACATTTCCAGTGAAGTTACTGGCCAGATCAAGGAAGCAATTTTTTACCCTCTCTAGTGATATCAATAAGAGTGAAAGCCACAACAAATCAATGATCTAACCAGACTTAGCAAAAGTCACTAGATCTCACTTCATTATAAGCCTCTTCATCAACAACTCTCCAGCATTCTGGTGATTTCTCTCCTCCTTCACTCATACTACAGTATGCTTCATACACTGCAACGAGTCAGACAGGAAGACAACAATTTTGTGAAAATATCTAACAAGGAAAAGAGATCTGCAACTGGCTGAGCACAGTTAGCAGCAACTGTAATTGACAGAAGAGTTACAAGAAGCTCTTCTGCTGCTCACGTCTCATGCAGCAATTTAAGCAGAAGCCTTCCGGCTTTTGTCACTTACCCTTTTTTGATCTTCCAGTCCATGTGTCACCGGCTTTCTCTTCTGATGCTGGTTAGATTCAGAGCCAGGTTCCATTTCCCAGCTACAAACACTCCTCTGGCCTCTTTCAGCTTTCTCTAAAAATCCATAGTATGAACAACAACAAAAACCTCAAAGTCATTTAAAAAAAAAAAAAAAAAAAGCAAGAAAACTCCTTCAGACCTCAGCCACGGTTTTTATCATCCTTCCAAGTTCCCACTTGCCATCACAGCTCATTATCCTAACAGGCAGCCAGTCTGTAAGCCTCTATTCCCTATTTGAGCCCAGATGCAGAATCCTGTTGCTGTGCCTTACAGAAGGATGACAGAGCTGAATCCAAACCCAGTACTTTGTGCCACGTTACTGCCCCATCAGCAGCCATTTCAGTGCATTCCTGGCATGGATAATTTATATGTCAATAAAGGTGTAAATGTGCATTTAATCCACTGGGTTGATATTATCAGCATCCCTCTCTTGGGCCACCTTCCTCCCATAAATCAATGTAAACACTTCACAGCAATAATTGCCTTTTGCACATCTAGCAGGTGTTAATTACGTAAAATTGTCCAGGCACGCCTGTCATCATCTTCTTCTATGTATTCAAACAAACACCTAAAAGACACAAGGAAAAAAAAACATTTTTTACCAGCTTGAAAGAACACACGGCTATTGATACTCTTTGACCACCACCAGCGCTCAGAACTGACACAGTAATTGTGCATGTTGTACACGTTACACTCTCTACCCAAACCTCTCCAGTCTCTTTGATTCCTGTTTAATGCCTTACCTTGTCTTTGCGGCTTCTTTTGCAGAGACACCTGAGAGAGACAGACCTGTGCATCACTGCTGAGGCTACACAGCTCAATGCCTGGAAGCCTCACACAGTCGCAAGGTTGGAACAGACCACGACGGTCAGCTAAGCCAATTGTCAGCCCATGCCCACCATACCACGTGCCTGACTGCCACATTCCCAAGCACATCATACATCAACCCAAAAGCTCTGCCCTCCAGAATCGTGGTTCTGTCCCTACGGCCAAATTCAGCGCTGTGCTGTGGCCTCAAACCCAGATATGGTGTGCTACCACCCAAAAGCAGGGACACGTGGAAGAGCAGGTTCTGCCACGTGTCCAGAAAGAAACCCAACATCTGGAGCCACAGGTTCCCAGCTCGGCCACCTTAAAGCACTGCACTCCTCAGAGTAGGGAGAACAAGTTCACACATCACAGCCCAGGATAATCCCCGAGGCAGGACCGATACCAGTCGGTTTCTACACCGAAACACCATGAAAAGTACTTTTACTAAAATAGGTTCCAAAGCAAAAAAGGCCGAGGATTAAACTAATTTTAGGGGCTTCGGCTGAGTGTGGGATAAACGCACTTGTTTAGCTACACGGATCACACAGCAAGCACCAAGAAACGCAATTCTAAGCAGCAGGAGCACAATTTAGAGAACCATTCGCCCAGCAGCCGCTGAGGAGCGCAGCAGAAAGCGGCGCCCGCAGTCAGTCAGCTCCCGCCGACAGAGCTCCGGCACCAGCCGAGTAGCGACGGGAAAGGCTTGAGAGCGCTCGCAGCCGCTCGGCGCAGCGCGGCACAACAGGTAGGGAGCGCGGCCGCGCGCACTTCCCACCCCGCTCCCCGCCGCCAGCTCCGCGCGGCCGCTCCTCCCGCAGCCGCGGACGGCGGGGAAGCGGCGCCCCGGGGCAGCGCCGTCCCCGCCTGCTCCCGCAGCGCAGCGACTCGCGCCGTCTCAGCCTCTCTGGGACGCAGACGGAGCGATCGAGGAGCGGAGCCTCTCCCCGCCGCCCGGCAGCAGCGGGAGCAGCGCCGTGCCGGAGACCCGCCGGGATGCTGCCCGGCCCCACCGCGCCCCCCCACGAGTTCTGCTGCCGACGGACACCTTCCCTTCCCTTCCCTTCCCTTCCCTTCCCTTCCCGCAGCCCCC